GGGAGGGAGGGGTGTGTATAGCGCAACCGACAACCGCAAAACATTCCTATCAAAGCAAGTGCGATTCCCTCCAACGACCAAAAACTATAATTCCCCCCCCCTGCCTGGGGATCATCAACGTACAACGTGCCGTGGGTGACAAATAACATGGAAAATGTAACAAGGTCAATCTCAATGGATCTTCGGCGAAGATCCGGTAAAGATAAAATGTACGGGATCGATCAAAGATTGTCTTCATCAGGTCGAAAAGTGCGATACTGACATAGTTCGCACAGATCAGTCCTCCATACCTTCTTATTTTGCATTTTGTTATTTTTATATGGAAATGACTCGATTCTGCATCGTTATCGAGTGCGTGGCGTGTCACCAGTGGATTCCACTAATGCTTAGGACCTCATGCTGAGGCTGTTATTTACCCACTGACATATGGAAGAGTTACGCGTTTTTGGTCAATCGTTATAGCTCGTTATCACTCGTTATCATGGCCGAGTGCGCCATGAACGTGTTGTGTTACAATGTACGATTCTGTTGTTTTGGAAGGTTATGTGTACTCGACATAAATATCTAATTTACTTTCTATTGCTCATTGTCTTATCTATATCTGTATTACTGCTGAATTCTTTATGGATTAGATATCTATCATGGAGATGTGATCAGTTATCGGGCAGTACGAAAAGTGTAAGTTGCAACTTTCTTCTACATATCTCGTGCAGTTTAATAGGATTTGGTCATCAAGTTAATCTTCTCCCCCACAGACTTTTTCTCATGAGTTCATTTCACCTTTTTGTAGTTTACACGGGATTTCATAGAGCTCTGTCGATAACAATAAGGTCGGCCTGATGCACACGGACTTCAATGAGGCACAAAATCGGTTAAGTGAGACCGGTGGGGTTTCGGGGAAATAAGGTTCATCTTAGTATGTGAGAATGGGTAGGGGCAGGTGCTTAGACTTATAAAAATAATTGACTAAAGACGAACTGCACACACCTCCGCAGATCCCGATCACTGCTATGTGTAAAAGAAGGGTTCGCAGCGGGAGTAGCGTGCCACATTCTCCTCTCAAAAGTACCTTGGAACGGGGCTGGAGGGTAATGATACCCTGCTGCCGTAATCTGGTCTTCACAGAACATTTTCTAGTTGCGTGAGAAACTGTATCGGATGTTGATGCGGTTCCCCCATTCCATGTATGCGATACACCCCCTCCTCACCTCTCCCTCTCTCTTCCATCCCTACTTTGCGGCGCCAAACTTCTCTGAAAACTGGAAGAAGAGGCTAGGAAGTTGGTGAAGCTTAGAAAGTTGATAGATAGAATGGGGAGAAAGGGTCGTACTGGAGGAAGAGATTCTTGGTAAGGTCGATTGACACTCCCGTCTCCCTCATCCCGGTGCTGTATCTTGCTCTCCCAGCCACACGCCTAACTATGGCTCCTACATTACTACATTACATTACATTACTCTTTGCAGCTTCTTACATGAGAACATTTTTAGCATGTCGTCGGGACCACCTTACCCGGTTATCCTCTTCAGTCCAGAGCCAGAAATTACTGCGAACATTCTCAATATCTTGTGATTGTCGTCACCAGAATAACGGAACCTTCAGTGAGGGCAACATTCAGAGACACTTACGGACGTTCAGAACAAAACGTACGCCTGATTTGGGCGACCTATTATGTTAAATAAGTTGTCTTATCGGCAATCGTCCTACGAACGCACACATCGTCAGCAATGATCTTGTATGTGTCCATCGATTTGTAGCAGCATATAGATCCTTGATGTGTCCAGTTTCTTGCAAGCGTTCCAGCCGATTAATCTTAGTGGACGTAGAGATTGCCTTCTCTAGCGCTAAGTCCCCCCTTTAACAAACCGCCCGTGAAGCGACGAAAAATCAGCACATTCAAAATAAATTTTCCCAGCGACCTACAATAGCGACCACCCACCGGGCTGCCCCCTCCCGGCTAAGGCTACCAAATACGAGCCCCCCTATTGGGGACTCCCCAACAACGATGTGCCCTGTTCACAATCGCTGCAATCGCTCTATGACAGTCCACCCTCGCTCGTCTTGCTACGCGAACGGTTGCGCAGCGTTCCGCGTGAACAGACACTACATTCCCCTTCCCATCAGCTGTAAAATATGGTTCCAACCCTACCATTACACAGTTGACAGTACTTATACCTTTATAGTGTGGAAAAATAAAATCTGACAACCTTTCTTGTTTGATGACAGTTGTCCTTTTCAGTACAATTTCACAGTAGTGTTCCCACTTGGCCTCTCTAAAGATGAAATGGTCAACACGGATGTACGAGAGGAGTATCAATTGTATGGTGATATACTACAGACAGATTTTATTGACAGCTACCGTAATCTCACGCTGAAGGTGCTTTGGTTTTATTATTGATCGATGAATTACCTACGGTAGATATCACGGGTCTAGACACGTGCACAAAGCATGACTACTGATTGCGTGTTCTAACGCGTTTGAAGATGTTTGCACGTGTGCGGACTAGTCGCCCGCGACCGCTCGCGTGACAGTCATGCTCCTAGGCCTTCGTACTGAAGAGTGAAAGTTCTATGTTCAGCAAGCTCAGCCTATTGCAGACATACTCGTATTCAAATTATGTACGCCATAATTGTACAAACGTGAGAGCAGTACTAAAAGTGGACGACGATCTTGCGTGGAATGTAGGCCAGATGTTCGATTATCTATCAAAAATCGATACAGTCGGCTATGTTCTCTATTGTCGATCGGTGGAAAATCCTCTCGTGAATCGTGACATTCGACAACGATGGTAAGTCTCCGGGGACGGACAAGACAATCGTAATCTGTCGCGTCGTTCGCTCGGAATGTCAGTGTGCGCGGCAGATGCTCCAATCAATATACTAATGCATTCTCTATATGCATTAGTATATTGATTGGAGCAGCAAAACTTTCCTGAATTTGAGCGGAGAAGAAAATATGACAGAAAATATCGGATTTTCCCATCCCTCTAATACTC